TCCCCACCACCCCAAATCCCCACCACCCCAAGTCCTGAGGATGATGATCCTCATCCTCATTGCCCCCTGTCCCCATTGCTCTCATCCCCACCACCCCAAATCCCCACCACCCCATGTCCCCAGTCCCTCCCCTCCCTGGCTGTATCACACCCAGGTGGAATAGGACCGTCCTCCCCATCACCCTCAGTCTGACCCCAAAACAAGTGGTTTTGGGGTTCCCACCCCACCTGGCTGTGATGGACACCCGGAAATTCTCCTGCCGGTCAATGTAGAGAAACTTCTCCTGTGGATCCAGAGTCACCTCAAAGCTTGGCAGCACTGTGGAAGAGACACTTATGGGTCCGGGATGGGGCACCAGGGATCAGTGGGTTTGGGGTGGAGACCCCCCACCCCACCGTACCGTATTCCTTGACTTCAAATTGCGTGCTGAAGACCTGATCCTGCGAGTCTTCAAATTTGGCCGTGATTGTCCACGTCCCCAGGCTGGAAAAAGTGGGGATGGGGTGAGGGGAAAGGGACAGGGAGAGGGACAGGGACAGGAAGAGGGACAGGAAGAGGGATAGCGACAGGAAGAGGGACAGGAAGAGGGACAGGAAGAGGGACAGGGACAGGGACAGGGACAGGGACAGGGAAAGGGACAGGAAGAGGGACAGGGACAGGAAGAGGGACAGGGACAGGGACAGGAAGAGGGAAAGGGACAGGAAGAGGGACAGGAAGAGGGACAGGGACAGGAAGAGGGACAGGGACAGGGACAGGGACAGGGAAAGGGACAGGAAGAGGGACAGGGACAGGGACAGGAAGAGGGACAGGAACAGGGACAGGGACAGGGACAGGGACAGGGACAGGGACAGGAAGAGGGACAGGGACAGGGACAGGGACAGGGACAGGTTGCCCCATTCTGGGGGTTGACACCCACCTGACCACCTCCGGCAGGTTGTGGTTAATGGAGAAGATCCCATTCCTCATGGGGGACGACACGGGCACTTGTTTGATGATGACGTTATCGGGTGTCTGTGGGGAGAGGGGACGGTTGGGAAGGAGGGGGTGGGTGGCACCGTCCCCATGTCACCACGTCCCCGTGTCACCACGTCGTCCTCGTGTTGCCAGGTCACTCACCTTGACCTCCACGATCACCGTCTTCAGCAGAGGCTGCATGAAGCGACTCAGGGCGAAGAGACGGCAGAGCACTGGGAGGGGACACAGGGGACATGGGAGGGACATGGGGGGGACACCAAGGGGACATCAGGAGGAGATCCCAAATGAATTCCAGACCCCAATAGAGGCCATAAAGAGGATGGCCCAGGTCTTGGAATCCAATATGTCCCCATGTGGGTGCTGGATCCCAATGGGGACATCATGGGAAGGTCCCCAAATGGGTTCTGAACCCCAATATTGCACACGTCGGTGCTGGACCTCAATGGGACGTCAACAGAAGACCCCAAAATGAATCCTGGACCTCCATAGGGGGCATAGAGAGGATGACTCCAAACAGGTCCTGACCTCAATGAGGACATCAGTGGAAGACCCCAAAACGAATTCTGGACCTCCAGAGGGGGCATAGAGAGGATGACTCCAAACAGGTCCTGACCCCAATGGGGACATCATAGCAATGTCCCAAAATGGGTTCTGGACTCCAATATGTCCCCATGTGGTTGCTGGATCCCAATGGGGACATCATGGGAAGGTCCCCAATTGGGTTCTGAACCCCAATATTGCACACGTAGGTGCAGGACCTCAATGGGACATCAGTGGAAGACCCCAAAACGAATTCTGGACCTCCATAGGGGGCATAGAGAGGATGACTCCAAAAAGGTCCTGACCCAATGGGGACATCATGGGAAGTCCCCAAATGGATTCTGAACCCCAGTATGTCCCAGTATGGGTGCTGGACCTCAATGGGGACATCAGTGGAAGACCCCAAAACGAATCCTGGACCTCCATAGGGAGCATAGAGAGGATGACTCCAAACAGGCCCTGACCCCACAGGGGACATCATAGGAAGGTCCCAGGATGGGTCCTGAGCCCTGAAGAAGGGACACAAAGAGGACGGTCCCCAAATTGTCCCCAAATGCCAAGGCCAGCAGCTCAGGGCTCACCGGTGGAGCCGGGGGTGTAGATGGGTTTGTCGGTCTGCAGGAAGATGTGGCCGCTCTGTAGGGACACCAGCAGCACCTTCTCCAGGGTCACCTGTCCCACCCGTGCCACCACCGACACAAAGTGCTTCCCCACCACCTGCGGCAGCAGCTTGACCGGCACCTGTAGGGACAGGGGACAGCGGGGGACAACTGCAGTCAGGGGACCGGGATGGGGATGCACTGAGGTGAACGTCCCCAAAGACTCCAAGGACCCCAAAATACTGACCCCAAAATACCCTGAGGTGGTTGTCCCCATGAGCACTGGGGTTACC